GTCGCCGTCGCTAGTGATAATAAGGAACAATACAGTGGTGGTGGTGGCGGCGACTCGCGACAAGGAAGTTTAAGTTCTGAACGTGATTGTGATTCATGCGCATGTAGCGGCAATAATAGTGGTGGTAATGGCGGTAGCGAAACAGAAAGCCCAAATGAAACATATACACAGAGTGCTGATAATGATGTGTTTGATTGGTGGTTTCATAGAAATAGAAGTTCGAAAAAAAGCAGGTAGAATATCAATACCAAAACAAAAACACACAATACCTTCACTATTTTATTTCTTTCCACTTCAATGGCGCGTTTCAGTTTCGATCTCTGATCCGTTGTTTGTTCTTCTGCACTCTCAAAGGCGCTCGAATGTAAAATAAAAACAGATATACATCAATCGACAATTCTTTTGATCATCTCATCTAGATTTTTCATTTTAAATTTGATCCACCACCACTACCACCTGTCAATTGTTAATTTGCTATCCTTTGTAGTTTCTTTGGTTGCGTTACATTGTTCAGATTCAGTCCTTTTCAAGAGTTTTTTTTTCTCTTCTTGGAAAAAAAGCTATTAAGGTTTAGCAAATTGAATAAACTCGAAAATGTCTCGCTAAATTTTTTAGACAAACCAAATAACTTTTGATATAGAAAACTTGGTCAACATATATATCCGATTGAGCACGCGCACACTCTTACATTAGCGGACACAGCAAAGTGACATAAAACTGTTGAACAACATGCTCACCCTTTCGCATGCACAAAAATTATTCATAAAATGTTTAGCATTTAATGTTGCGAGTAATCCAAAAGTAGCCCTTGACACACTTGTCGAACGAATCGAAAATCAGTTTGACAACAAATAAAAAAATGCTGATTTTTAATTAATTTGGTCGGTGCACACAATATGACATTTTAAACATACAAACACGCACTATGTGTCCTACGACACAACGATTCATGTTTAGGTCACCCCCACTCTTCACAAATGGCATTTTCAATTTACCAATTTTGGTGCTGTTGCCATGTGGTTGGGTGTGCGTGCTCTCTTGGTCTATGCGGTTTCATTTTTTCTTTCATTTTCATACGAAATTTGGACTGCAATGCCGTCGAGATCGTGAGATAAAAACAACAGACAGAGACAAAGCTTAAGAAACGTATGAAAATGCGAAAGAAAATGAATAGATGAATCATAATAAAATTAAGCACTGACGAACAAGTGAAAAAATAATCTCTGTCTCTATATAACTCTCTTGAATTCTATTATCTACTTTAAATCCGGTATTGGTCAAATATAAAAATCGTATACACCACCAAATCAAAATACATTAGGAGTCGATCATCGAGTCAATTATACTATAATGGCACTAATTCAACGTATCGATCATCGCCTGTAAGCAGTTGTTGCGGTAGTAGTCAGGGTCGTTCAAGTCCTGAAGTTGATTTAGATGGCGAAACAATCGGAGAACCACCACATATGCCTTTGAGCCCAGGTTAGCGCTAAAACAGCCTTGGTTCATACACACTCTCTCAATCTCGTTCGTTCGCTCGCTCTCGGCTTCGTTCTCTTGTTATATCCGTTGATATAGTTATTTATTTTTTTATGTCATTTTATTCGTTCTCTCTTTTTTTCGTTATCCATTTTCTGTTCTCCAAGATTTTTTTTTGTTTTTGTTTTTGTTCGTTTCTTCTTTCATTTGCTGATTGCGTTTTAAGTTGATTTTTCATTTCGCAATTCTATTTTTATAGTTTATCTTTTTGATTGATTCAATTATTTCGAACTGGAATGAAAGTGTTGAGTGAAAAAAACTCAAATTGCTTTTCATTTCAACACATTTTTTCGGTGCTTTTTTCGGTCAGTTTTATTTTTTGGACATTAAAAAAACAAGGACATACATGTCGCTTCGCAGAAATCAAATAAATTTGTTCAAAGGGGTTATTGCTTTAGGTGAATGGAAAAATGGCAGATGACACAGGAATTGTGATGGGTGCGTTTGGCAACGGAAGTGTCGTTTATTTTTTGGTTACTTTTTGAGATGACACACATTTTACTTTTGATTTGTTTTTGTTTCGATATTGTACTTAATTTTGGTTGCATTTCAATTTGAGCACATTATTCTTGTGCATATTACCCAATTGCACATCAAGTCTTAAATTCATTTCAATGCCCACTTAATATTAATGCACTTTCTTCGCAAAACCACAAAATTTCCCCAACTTATAACTGTGTTTGTTATTTGTTTTTGTCGTTGTTGTTGTTATTCAAGATGCACTCTCCGTTCCAGGTGACGAACGTATACACAAATCTCTTATAATGTTAAAATAACAAATTGCACTTATTGTACATGTGAATTCAAAAACTTACAAAGCACTATATATTGTGATATCATTTTGAACAAAGGAATTCCGTATTTCTAATGCTGATTTCGGTATTTTCAAGCCACTCAATCTCTGTGTTTTTCAAATCCAGTATTTGATTAGATATTTATTAACTCTCCTGTAGAAATTAATAATTTTCTTCACATTGTTTCGAAGAGTTATCGAAGATAGGCTCGCCGTGATCTCGGAAGCTTCAGAAATTCCGAATAGGCAAAAATGTGTAAATAAAAAAGTGGACGATAACCAAATACAGAACAATTTTTTTTGTATAAATACTTTTTTTATTCATTTGAGTGAAGCCTCATGAATGGTCTAGAATTGATGGATTCACGAACATTACAATGGATGTCGTAAATGGTGCTCTTACTCTGAAGATGAATCATCCCACATAATCTGATGTGGATACTAAACAATTTTATGCTGTACAAAGTTCTAGCGTATAATGGGTGTGCTCTCACTTTGCAAAAAGTTATAAAAAAATTATTATGGCTGAAGTTTGCAGTAAAGACTGTTTTGTTGGGGTTTCTTTAACAAAATATGAAAAAAAAAAAAAAGATATATTGAACTCGTAGAAATATTTTTGCTCTCATCTTGTTGTGTTTGTACTCCAGATGGATTTTCATTTTTATAGTTTCATTTCGATGACTTTCTCGTTGCCAAATTTCGAATTGAGCTTTTTTTTACATTTTGACATTTTATATCTGTGAGCTGTAAATATTCAGTTTGACTTAAATAACTAATGAAAAAACCTACATATGCACGCCAAATAACAGTAACAGCTATCAAAATTCAATGAAATAAGGAACCGTATATCCTCCGCCAATATAAATGTCAAATGATTCAGCATATTTCGGATGAATAAATGATTTCAATCCAAGAGAAGCATCGAAAAACCCTCATTTAAAGATGCCACCAACGATTCCATGAAAATAACAATCAGAGATCCAATCAGTTTTTGAAATACGAACATAACACACACACACATGCACATAAATTCAATGTTTCAGTTTACAATACATACACGGATACACTGAAATAAACAAATACATATGATACACTTCCATTATGTACACACTCTATACATTTTTTTTTGTTTTGATTGAATTACAGGCATACACAATGGGAAAATAAGATTCAGCTATACCCATTCTCGTCGATGTATTTGTTTAAATTTAGTTCAGCCATTGTATTTCTCTTTTAGTCAATGCCAATCATCATATGTAAATGCATTCTCTATTATAAACTTAATAATATTCTATCAATCACCAACTATCACTACCGTTAGTGCATTCGACAGGCTGCATAACATATGTCGAAATAGATGATTTTCAAAGGACAAAATCGTTTTATCCAGCCCACGTTATGAATAGAAATATCATCATAATCATCATCGTCATCATCATAATTATTATTGCATGTGATTTCCCATATAAAATGTTCATTAAGTCAAATAAAAAAAATATGCTTGATTTTTTGTTCTTTCACTGGTATTTTGTTTCGTTTCGTGGCTCTCACTTATGATTTCAGTGAATCTTTTCTTTTACAAAAAAAAAACATCATTTCAATTTTTTCCTTCTGATTTGTGTATTCTTTATTTGACGCATTTTGTTTTTCTTTCATTTTTATTTTATGTTTGAAAAGTCTACAAAAAAAATCCCTGCCAAATGCCCATGACAGTTCTTTCTCATTTGGATGAAAAAAGACAGAAAGACATACATACAAATCTATGTGCATGCTTTCACGTCCAACCTATCTGTCTTGAAAATATCCTATTTGCATTTTTTTTTGAACCTCGAATCAATATTAATTTTACTAACCCGAACTGTTGCCGGACATTTTTCCGATTCTAGTATTATATAAAAATGGATAGTGTTTAAGTTGCAAAGAAGAAAGAAGATTGAATGATATCATTTAAGCTTATTTACTTATCACTAGACGTTCGTAGAAATGTTGAATTGCTTTTCGTTCTCTAGACAAGTTTGACGTTCAGGTTTCAAGCATAAAATTAATTTTCAACAATATTAATAAGAAGATATTATTTGAAGAGAGAATAAATTTGAAAGCAATTAGCAACAGTTGTTGAACCGTTATTTATACAATTCTCTCATTTTATTTCAAATTAATGATATCGTTTAAATGTTGAATGATTACTAATATATTTTTGTTTCGGCGATTGTGTTGGGTGCGTCTTTGTTGACGTACTCGGTACGATTTCCGGTCGTTTTCTTTTGCTTGTATCATTTTAGCTGATCTTCCATCGTACATTACCCGTTTCTCATGGGATATGGCGAAATACCCAATCAAGCAATCGTTGCGGAATATTGCTGATATCATTTCCAAACAAGTTGGCCAAATTGATGCCGATTTGAAAACCAAATCGGCCGCTTACAATAACCTTAAGGGAAATTTGCAAAATTTGGAGAAGAAACAAACGTAAGTCGATTTTTTTTAAGCAAGTGATTCAACAATTTATTGGCGACCATAAATACTTGATAAGTTTTCAATTGAGACCAGTGACCGGTTCGCGCATATTTCTATGCTTGCCTAAATACGCTAGGTAGCATAGATATGCCAAGCATAGCCGCAAACGCAACCGACGCATCGCCGTTCACTCTATATGAACAATACACATGTTCGTTTATGCAGACGACCGCGCGCATACAATATAGCTCGAATCGAATGCGTGCGTTGCGGCTTGCGTCTCCGCTATGCTTAGCATAGCTATCAGGCATAGAAATATGCGCGAACCGGTCACTGATTGAGACTGGTTGATTAATTGATTGCAAATTTTTCGTAACTATTTTTATAGTGGAAGTTTGTTGACGCGCAATCTGGCGGATTTAGTGAAAAAGGAACACTTTATCCTCGATTCGGAGTATTTGACCACATTGTTGGTTATTGTTCCAAAGTAAGTTGATTTGACAGTTTTACAATGGTGTTTTTCTCTAAACTTATTGAATAAAGGTGTCAACGAACCACCAAATCCTGATTCGAGTTCGTTCGATATGTAATTAACGAATTTGTTTTCATTGATGTTTAACTGGTTCGTCCGTTTTTTTTTTAAATGAGTTTGCTCAACTAAATGAGCAAACTCGAATCAAAAAGGAGCATAAACGTTTGTTGACACCTTTAATACTGACATTGAAATCATTAAAAATCATTTAATGTGACATTTTTTGTTTTACAGAACAAATGTGAACGATTGGACCCAAAATTATGAGAAAATCACAGACATGATTGTGCCACGTTCATCTCAATTGATTACCCAAGATACTGACTACGCACTCTTCAATGTGACACTTTTCAAGAAGGTGCGTGTGCATGACTCAAATTAATTTAATCAAATCCACCCACCTTTCTATTGTTGCCCGCCCTCTCACATCATTTCCAATTAATTTGATTCAATTAATGAATATTATCACCTGATAATTACATACAAAATGTTCCAATTTTATTGCAGGTCGTTGAAGAATTTAAATTGCATGCTCGCGAAAAGAAATTTGTTGTTCGTGACTTTACTTACAACGAAGAAGAATTGGCAGCTGGCAAAAGTGAAATCACCAAACTTGTGACCGATAAAAAGAAGCAATTCGTACGTATTCATTCAAATGATAAACATAGATTTGCGAATAGACACATTTCTCTGTCATTTGATGGCATATATTTAATGCAAATGTGGTGTGTTTTTTAGGGTCCACTTGTGCGATGGTTGAAAGTGAACTTCAGCGAAACATTCTGCGCATGGATTCACGTCAAAGCACTTCGTGTGTTCGTCGAATCGGTCCTCAGGTAAATGATGAACTTTAACATTATATTTCTCTATTTTTAATTCGGTGAATGTGTGTGTGTGTGTTTAGGTACGGCTTACCTGTCAATTTCCAAGCAATTTTGATTCATCCAAACAAGAAGAGCGTCAAAAGACTGCGTGATGTGCTCAATCAATTGTACAGCCATCTGGATGGCTCAGCATCGGCCCCATCAAGCAACGCTGATGTAAGTGAATGTCAAAAATACAATTTGGAGTAATTCAATTCAAAAATTTAAATAATCATTTTTATGTGTACATTTTCTAGAATGTCGATATTCCCGGTCTTGGATTCGGTCAATCCGAATATTATCCATACGTTCATTATAAACTAAACATCGATATGGTTGAATCAAAAATCTAAACAAAATGGAGTGGCAATAATACAAAAAAAAACACACCTCCAATGCGCCCAAAAACGAATCCAATACATTTTAAACCATAATAAAAACAAAAAACACAAAAATTATTACTTCTTACTTTCACCAAGCCAACACCGTAGCGAGATGTGCCACTTTCTTTTGGAATGTATTCAATCATCGATACAATGGATGGCGGTGTAACAACAATCGCATACACCGCAATCATTATAAACGGAGGGAAAAGAAATGCACATCGAATTCAGAATGAAAATAAAAATAAAACACACATAAAGTCATTGACAAAGAACAACAGAAAACGCTCACCAAATGACTTATTTGATGTATGAAAACAATGTTTTGTCCCTAAAATTAGTTATATGATTAGTTCAGCCAATGGGCAGCAAACACGGCAAATTGTTTGCATTCAAGCACACACACATATATACAACATTTATTTTTGAAACGTTTAATTTTCATTTAATTGTACTCCGGTGCTATCTATTGATTTTTTTTTAAAAAAGAAAATTGATTTTATTTGAACAATGAGAATGAATCGATCAAGGTCATCAATCCATTTATTTATAAAATCCAATAAAAACGAGTGACATTTCATTGTTAATTTTATTAGTGCAACTACGATTAAAACCGGTGGTCAATAGTTTTTGATAAAATATTTGCTTTAATTATTGAAATCAGTTTTTCTTTCTTTTCATCGGAAATTAAACGTTTCGAAATGGAATTTGACTATTTTTTTTGGTTTGGCGCAATGACTTTTATATTCAACCAAAATATACATCAAAATAATGTATTGATACATACAACAAATGCATATAATGCTCATGTTTCGTACGATAACTAACACGTATATTTGAGATCGAATATGATTTAGGATATGCCAATGGTAATTCAATCGTTAATAGCACGTCCATGCAATTCTTTTGGCTATTCAGTTTTAAGTAGACGCATTTTTCACTCCGTTATACATTGCTGCACCCTCATTTATATCATGAGCTAATTTTTTTTTTTGGCAATCACGAACAGCCAAAATAGTTTTTTTGCATCAAAATGTGTATGTGTGTGTGTGTGGAACACTTCATTGTTTCATATAGAATCGATATGTGTTTTGGCAGCGAACAAATAAAATGGTCGGTGTTTTTTCCATAATATCCCTGTAAAATATCACTTTGATTGCAATCAAGGCACAAACCAAAAGAATAAAACACATTTACTTTTAGGGGCAAACAAACAAATGAGAGAGAAAGTAACCGAAAACCACAATTCCTTGAGAGGACTTTCTTCTATTTCTTAATTTAATTCTTTATTGTATATTTTATTCACTATGTATCCAATACTTTTGTAGAGAAAAATGTTTTAAAATGATTTCCTTCTCTTTCCTCCCCATTTTTTGCGTCTTAGTGTACACAGTAATATAATTTCTTCAAATTTATTCTTTTAAAAACTTTTCATTCTTCTTGATTTTAAATTGTTTTCTTGTTCTTCTGGTAAGAGTTAAGATCTTGGTGAGGTCGCAAGAAGAAAAAAGTCAACACACAATCTACTTATTGAGTTATAAAATATTAACGAAAAAAAAAAAAAACGATAGAAAAAAATGATGAGCATATGCAAGAAAATCAATTCGAATGAGAACATGTAAATGATATATAAACAAAATATTTAACAAGGATTATATAACGTTGTAAAAAATGAATAATTATGTAAAAAGACAGTATTTTAATCGATAGTGAAAATAAACGGATAAACAAAATTTGTTGTGTTAATAAAAAAAATGTTAATTTTTTGATTTTTTTTTTCTATTTCAGTTTTTCCATTTTGATTTGGTCGTTTTTTTGTTTGTTGCGCAGCACATAGATAATTTTCCAATTTTAAATATGTACATTTATATGGTCATTATCATTTTTTTTAATGGAAAATTGCCACCATTATCACTCCGTTGTCATCGCCGAAAAGTAGCATTAGAAATGGTTCTCATTGAATTGATTTCAGGTCCATCATTTTTTTTCTTCATATAACTCAATCATTGTCAAGCCCACTTACGATTGCATCGTATTCGGCTGGTGAATCGTATTGAATATTAAGGAAATATTTAAGAATTCAGTGCACATAAAATAGACAGAAAGTTAAAATACAAAAACAATCATTTGGATGTTAAATGGGCCAAATTCAACATACAAATAAAAAATAATAATGAGAGAACAATAAAATTTTAAAAGAAATGCTAATTTAAAATCAATTTTTTTTTCTGTAAATTTCCAATTAGTGTACACTTATTTTATTAGCTTAAACGAGCAAAACTACAAAGAAAATCATCAATCCAATTTATTTTATTAAATTTAACAAAACGTTAGATGATATTAATAGTTAAACAAAAAAAAACAGAGTTTTCAAAACTATTTACGCAATGGAATTATAAGTTCAATGTCTTTTAAATGAAGAAAAATTGTAAAATATTATTATAAATATATATATTTATCATCAAATGGCATTGAAAACACAATGTAACAAAGATGAAATTTTTTTTTTATCTTTACTGAAAAGATCAACAGATGAATGCTCTTGATTTTCCGAATAATTCAAATCAAAACATTCCAATAAAAAAACCATTTCTTTCCAACATTTAAACAGTATATAATATACCTTAATATCCTGATTGATGGACATTTTTCAACTCATAATTAAAATAGCAATTATTTTGAAGTATTTTCAAATATTCTTTTAATTTGAAGAAGTTGAAAACTAAGATCAATACGAAATGAAAATCAACAAAAGAAAATTAAAATTTTAAAATTCATTGATTTTCAGTTCTTCTTAAACTCGTTCAGTTATATTTTTCTAAAAAAAAAAAAAAATATTCCGTCAAATCAATTAAAGTGGTTAATATTTAGTTACCATAATCACACAATAAAATGATTGGAATAAGTTATATTAAAGCGCAACAAATATGCAATGTCATACTTTTCTTCATTTCCGTTCTCATGCAGCAAATCGATATAATAAGAACTTCATATTTTTGATCTTGTCTTTGAAGCAAAACTTAGTTAAAATAGTGTGTTCAAGGTGGATTTTTGTTTTTATTGTTTCTTTTCGTTTGAGAAAAAGGATGAAACTTTGAATCCTTTGTGAATGCGATCGAAGAAAAGAGCAGATAGAAAATATCACAATGAACTGTGAATGCCATTTGATAAAGTAAGAGAAAAACAAATGTGAACGAAAAAAAAGAGAAAACAATAAAGAATTGTGTTTATCACCTGTTGTTTATGCATAATAAACGATATTGATTTGTTTTTATTTATTTTCAGCGCGTGATCTTGATTACCCGCACATATTTTATGTGACAGTTTCGCCTTTTTGAAAATTGTTAATGCTTTCTTTGGGGGGGAAGGGATGTAATACCGGCTTTTTCAATTATAATAAATTCAATGTTACCTGATATGTGAAATACGAAAAACAAATCAAGCCTGTACACAAAAATAAATAGCATCCACACGTCACTTGTCGTCCAAACTGGTTATAAGCAAAAGCAAACAAAACTAATGATAACTTTACCATTGGCTATCAGAATCATTGGTTAGCTTTTATTTTCACATGAATCGAGACACAACTTGTTTTCTGATTTCATTTTCAAGGCCATTTAAGTGCGCGCACGCGATCACATCAAATATGTGTATATGGAAAGCGCTAGCGCGTACTTTTCCCTTTCTGCAAAATAATCATGAGAGAAATAAAAAATGAAATTGCCCATTTTGATGGCACTAGGTAGTGGTCAGCCATAAATGCAGTTGAACAGTCGCGATCTGTTGACTTCAACGTGTACACACAATTTGTAAATGCAATGGAAATGTTTGTTGCCGTAAAATTTGTGATTTTTATCGGTGCATTAGCATCACTTAGTGGTACGAATTTTGTTTTTTTTTCTTCTCATTTTTGGTATTGTTTTGCTTCCTTATGTAAAGAATTTGATACATTTTCTCTATTGTGAATGGAATTTCGGTTCCAAAAAAAATTAATGGAATTACTTTGATCAGATGCGTTTCAAACATGCCCCGGTCATAAGCATTACGAAGAATTGAAATGCACACCAATCAGAGATAAACCAGACGATAAATGCCCATCACGGTAAAATATTCGGTACTTTTTGGGTGATTTTTTCTTTATTACTAATTTATACTTATTTTTCTCGTGTGTATGCGGCGCTAAAAATCATAATCATTCAGATATGAGTGTCCAGATTTCAAAGCGCTCGATCGATCCGTGTGCCATTTGAATGGTAAAAAATATAACATTGGCAATAACGTTTCAACCAGTTTACCAACATGCACAAAGTCTTGCAGCTGCGATGGGTAATCAATCAAAATATTCAAATAATCATTATTATTTCACAAATAATCATAATACTTTCATTTTGGTTATTGAACAAAGTGCTGAAGATGAATTTGGTTTTTCGTGTGAATTCGATGAATGTGCCGAGGCAAAAGACAAACCAAAATTACATTGTGCCTATCAATTTACAATTGACAGTTGTTGTTCAACAAATACAGTATGTGATAAAGATGAAATTGACAAATTACATCGATGCTGGCACAATGGCCATCAATTTGTTGAGGGAAATTTAATTTATCCAACAAACGCTCCGTGCTATAAATGCCTGTGCGACAAGAACTACGACAACAATACTGATGTATCTGAAAGCAAAAGCTGTAAACCGGTCGATTGTGGTATTGAATTGCATCAGTTAAACTATTTACAATTAGGTTGCATTCCGGTTTATTTTGATGATGGACTCTGTTGTCCATTCGAATTCAAGTGTCGTAAGTAGCTTGTATTCTTTTTAAGAATTTTCTCGCATCATTTCTACTTGAATATTATTATTCCTTTCTATTTGATTATTATACGCTTTTAATTGATGGGTTTTCTCTTTCAATTCAATCAAAATAGCAATTGAAACCGACTTAATCGAAGAAATTGGTGTTAAGTCAGAGCATGTCTGTAAATATGCTGATCGATCATTGAATATTGGTGATAAAATCAAAACAGCTGATCAATGTTTGGAATGTTCGTGTGAAGTCCCGCCGATGGCCCAGTGCATTCGTACAATAACAACCGAAAAATGTCATTAAAATTCGTCTAGAAAATCGATTTCGATACGGTTATCTGATCTGAGTCATAATAAAAGAAATAGAAAAAATGAATAATCAAATAAACATATGAAATAACAAATAAATCTCTAGAAAAAAATATGAATTAAAAAAAAATCTTATGTAAAATGTATGTTTTTCTTTGCTTCGTTGCATAAATTATTCAAATGATGTTCATTTGAATTTGACTGAAGCATTACAAAATTGTGCGAAATGCTGCTGTTGTTGACCTTCTTCGATTGAACGTGCCAATTGTGTCATTTAATGAACCATCCAGCATCAGGTCGCAACTTTGTGCTAATTTTTTTTCAATGATTATTCCACATCAAAATTGGTATTGAAAACGAGTTTTGTAGGTACAAAAAAAAACAGCCGATTTAAGGTAATATTCTTGACATTTACGACGAATGAAATTATTAAATCAAAAGGAATGAACAAAAATACTAAAAAAAATTATTGGAGCATATGTACGTTAATCCTGGCAGTGTAAGCGTATTTTTTTATATTATTATAGTGTAATATTTACGTATAAAGTCGATATTTAAAATAAAATGCATGCCCACAATGTGTAATTGTATGCATTTATATAATATTTCAGTTCAAAGGCTGTGCACGAAGGAAAGATCCAATTAACGATACTTTGAACTCTCTCTCTCTCTCTTGCTCTCTCTTGGTTTGGATCCAACGATTCCGTTAGTAAAAAAAGGGCTTTATTAATAAAAGTCAGACTCAACTGCGACTATTGTGTACATGCTTTTACGGCTATGAAGGCAGAAATAAGCATGGGTCTTATTACACTTTAAACTGGAACATTGTTCTTATCGGAAGTTATAAATATATGGAGAATGCATAAAGTGCACTACTATAGTAGTCACGTTGTCGATGTTACTGCACAAATGTGCAGTGCAAAAGGTTGTTTATTATTTTTGTTGTTTCTGCTTGTTTTGTATATGGTTTGTGTTATTAGCATAAATAGAAATAGGAACGTTTCATTTGTATGCCGGTGTATGTATTTTATGCAAGTGACATGTTAAATTTCATCCGAAAATCATTCGCAAAATTGCATAGATTTGCACATTGAACAAATATTGAATATCGCCACCATCATGGTTCGTAAATTGTTGCCAATGCTAATCTAATAGATATATTATGTTTACTCTAATATGTTCGATGATTTGACAATGAAGATAAAAGGTACCATGATAAAATCATCATTTACAGACAATTCATGTAAATCAAAAGGTAATTTCATGCTTCAAATATTCATTGCTTTACAAACAATACGATTTATAATCGTAACGAAGGTAATACCCGCATTCCATGTGCACAATCGTACGACCATAAATAATTAGATTTATATAAATGCCATGAAATGTTTGCCAGCATCGAAAATCAACCGAGAAAATTGGTAAGCGGTGACACTGCGATTTGCAGAATAGTGTGAGCACTTTTCAAACCAATTGATGTAGTTTATCGCAAAAAAAATAGATTTATTCAAACTTAACGCCAACGACAATAATTGAAATGAGCACAAACATGCATAAGAACGAGAGAAAAACAACTTTAATTTAGATGAATGTGTATTTCGGTAGTATCTTTTGCGTTTCATCCATTGTAATGGTGATTTCAATTGTATCGTCAAGTACCAGCATGATCTCTTTCACACTTTCCCGGCAGTAAGACAAGGAAAAGAAACAAAACTCACGCTGCCAATGTAATCATCATATCTTCGCTGCTAGTTTTTTTTTTTTTCATTATTGTTGTTGTTTGCTTGTTTATTTTGTACACGCGAACAAGGGACGGACAGTGAGAGAGCTTTTCGCTTCTGTCTTAAGCACATACAGAACATCGAGCATATTATTCGTGCGAGCTCACTTGTCTTCATCTCGTAAATATCGTATTTTTAAAAAAAGCTCTTGAATTTGATTTTCATTGTCGATCGAGAGAGCTCGTGTTTTCTTTTCAGTCGTTGTGTGACAACTTTTTATTTGCATTCTCTTCGGTCGTATACCATATATATATTCAATTGCAATTGTAAATTGCATTCGTGACATAAAAACCAAAGTGAATAGTTACGACTAAAATCAGTGTATGGTTGACTGGAAGCGAGATTGGATTCGATTGGAATAACCGTGTGTATGGTGTATTGTATATGTGTTTTGTTGTTATAAAACGTTCGATTTGCACGATTTGTTACGGAAAATATAGATAGATTCTTCAAAATTGGCAGACGAGTGGTAGATAACGTGTGATTACAAAACATAAAATGGTTAATTTACTACTAATAACATTATTCGGTGTCATACTCATAAACGGTAATATTTTTGCATATATTTTCTCCTTCCCACTCTCTCTCTCTCTCTCTCTCTCTCTCTCTCTCTCTCACTAGCTATCGATTAATTGCATGTAAACATAAATCTGCATGTACATGCAATTGTCCAAACAGCATTTCATTAATCCGATTCTTTTGCTGTTTTTCGACTAAACACGGAAGCAAATCAAACAACTTGAACATTTTTATTTTGTTTACATTTCATCACATGCCCGACAACACCATAACGTTGGTTTTGATCAATTCGTAAGCTAATGTCAATGGTCAAGGATGCGATCACAATTGTAACGAGCAAATTCAGAATCATTATTATGAACTCGGTTGTCGTCCAATTTACAATGAAACCAATTGTTGTCCAATTAGGTGAGTTAAAAGAATTTGCTGGAATTGAATTATAACGTGGGCGTGTATGTGTATACGAGCTGTTGCGATTATTTCATATGGTTAATGGAGATTGTTGTGTGCGGATTTCTATGTTGCATATATATATTTTGGTAATCCATATGTGTCATTGCCAGATTTGAGTGTCCAAAACTAGAAAACGATGGAAAATGTCATGTTAATGGTAATTCATACAATCTCAACGAGAAATTATCGGATAGTGAAGAACCATTGTGCTCTGCCGCTTGCTATTGTGCTAAGACAATCGTGTGAGTGTCCATTTTTTCTATTTTTCTTTTTACTCATTGAGAAAGGGAATTTTGAATTTAAAAAGAAATCTTAAAAACTGAAATTTACTCATTTTCGGCTGGTTTGAAATTCAATTTCTTAGAAAAATGTAAAAACTTATTCCTATTTTTAGAATTTTATTATTTTTTGTTATTATGATAAATTAAAAAAAAAACTAATTGATCAGTATTGATCGTATTCAAAATGTTGAAAGTCATCTGGTTCACGGAAATTTGAAGTAAAATCGTTTTCTTTCTGAATTTCTTCGAACATGTTCGCCGTGTCTAGTGGCACGAAATTTCGATGTGCAAGCATTGAATGCCCGGAAGTGTTTAACGGACCTAAATTGGAGTGCATCTATCAAAGTCAATTCGATCGATGTTGTGGCAAGTATGAGTGCAGTAAGTGTAAAAAAAAACCAATATATGTCAAAACTAAAACCGAATAAAAAATGCAAGCGATTTATATGGAATTTGGCGTGTGTCTTTCTGTCTTTTGGTGTGCATAGATCGAGATAAAATCGTTGAATTGTCACGTACACGATGCTATTTGGAGAATAAAGAATATGTAAAAGGCCAAAAGATGTTTTCGGATCGAATTGGTTGCTATGCATGCATATGTGATGAGCATTTTGATAATTCAACCATTGTTAACAATCCAAACTGTCAAAAGGTGAAATGTAACATTGAAATTCATTATGCAGATCGTTTGATGGCCGGATGCATTCCCATTTTCTATTATGGCAAATCAAATTGTTGCCCAATCGATTGGCGATGTCGTAAGTAAAAATATTTGCTGAAAAATAAATAAATGCCAGAGTATAAGTTCGCACTTGCTTAGCAAGCGCAATGTCTCAGAAGAGCGAAGTAAATTAATCATAAGTCAGGAGCCGCTTCTGAGTTCGTATTAGTGTATAGCGCACACTAATACAAACACCGTTAATCACACTTTTATAGCTAGGAGCTGCTTCCAGCAAGCGCTAATTTCATGCTTTGGTAAATGCGGGTTCAAAATTTTTCGCTCAATAAAAAAAACGCAATCTATCTTTAATTCTATTTTCGTACAATGAGTTTTTCATGCCGTGTGTCCAGCGTTTATACATTTTCCGAGTTTAACAAGTAAAGGGTAGTTTACGACATTCCCGAAGGGTATAGTAATCAAATTTGATCTCCAAAAAATGTGCAGAGACAAAACGGTTTCCAGTACCCCGAGGAAATGGGTTAATCATCAAATCAAGTCTTGAGGGAGGACCCGTCTCAGTCTTCTTCTTCTTTTTTTTTTGCAAAATGTTGCGTATAAAGTCCGAATTAAGTTCCGCATTTGCTTGTAGTCAACTTTCATGTTGGACACTGTATAATATTTCAAACTGTTGATGTTTTTCATGTTTACTGTTTTCCAGCCGAACCAAAAGATGAAATAATTACAAAGAATTCGGCATCACAAGTGGCTTTCAACGACACAGAAATGGTATGCAAATTTGGTGCACTGACACTACGAATCGGCGACCAAATTAAATCAGAAAAGTATTGTGTTGAGTGTAGCTGCTCGGTTCCGCCAATGGTGCATTGTGTACAAACAGGACACTGTTGAGCACGGGAGACGATGATGAATGATGATGAGAAGAAGAAAAAAACCGGAAGGCAGCTTATTCTATTCTAAATGCATATTATTCAAATGCGAACAAAATCTACGTGTAAATGATTTTCATATAATATATAATTTGTTAAAACGAAATGAAAATAGCGAGAGAATCTATAGCCCACTCATATTAGCTTAATAAATGGAATAAATTCAAGCAAATATAAGTTTTAATTCTAAATCAAAATTGATGCATTTTTATTTGCATGCATTTGGTAAATGCGGCCCCAATTGAAAATGTAATGAGAAAAAAAAATGTAAATCAAATCAATAACATTGAAGGAAATTGAAAAAAGGTAAATAACTCACAGCAAATAAAGCAATAAACGAAAGCGTTGGCCATAAATTTGAAGAAAAAATAAAACAAAAATTGTGAAAATTAAATTAAGTGTGCATTTTGTGATTGTTTATGCGACACATAAAAACATGTCATGGGGTTCGGTTATGGTTCTCTTCAACCGCAAAATCCGCGATTACATTACCGATTAACATGGAATAACAAGTGTTCGAATTACACCATAACAACAACATTTCACAAATCATTGATGGTCATGATTTGGATTCTGATTGGCACAGCTGATCGACCTCAATTCAGACGGAACTCATTTTATCACATACACAAAATAACAACGATGTCTGCTTACATAAACATAACTATCGAACGTGTTATAGCGCGAAATGAGTCGCATATTTTACAACCATTCACGATGTACATGCGTTTTAATACATAATCGTTGGCATCTCAACAAAGCATCCGATGTTTTTAATATTATATATATATATATAAAGAAGCGTTCATGTGCGAGCGATGTGGTGGAAAAATCATCGTGAAAATCTTGTTGGTACATGTGAGTAGTCTCTCGCATACAAGATTTTTTTTAGTGTATGTTACGACATACATCATAATACATATGACAGCCAGTTGAGAGAGAGCACGTGTGTGTTGCACGCGCGTCTTTCTTCCCATACATTTGATGGTGCCACTTTGGTCATTGCAGCGATTTCACAACACAATGTGTTGACTAAATGGGATAGAAAACTGATGTTGGTATGTCACATGGTGATTTTAAAACTCGAATCTATATAATGCATATACTTGAAATATCAAAGATCGAAGACCTCTTGAAAACAGGGTGATCCAGCAAATATTCAAATGCGATTGAAGAAAAAATCTTATCGACCCCATGGTTTGAGTCAACATCACTTACGAATTCTAGTCTAGACAATTCGGGATTCTCTTTGACATAGAAAAATTGATTTCCCGATGTCATCTTTAAGAGAAACAATCTTGTTATTATATTGGGGAGTAAAGCAATAAAATAATAAATGATAGTCTTTTGGATTTCAGGATCTCACTTTGAATAGGGGTTGTATGTTTATTGTGTATAAACGTATCCAATATATTCGTTGGAGGGTACACATAGCATGTCATCCTTTGAATGTTTGATAATATTTGTTTAGTATTATGTATTGTTGATATTTTTTGTATAAACTCATGAATATATTTTTCGGATAAAAACGATATCAATGTGATGTGCCAATGTTATGGAATAAATTGCGTCGTCTTTTATATATTCAATTCAAATTTGTAAAAACAATTCAAAGAGCATGAACCAAAAGAGTTGAAAAGGGAAAAAAAATCGCGACAAAGACGACGACGACGGCAACAATAGTAACAACGAACATCGAGATCTTTCAAAAACGTGTGCACCGTATGCGAATACACATAGCACATTTCTATATACATAATCAGACGAGCACCATCCAATTCGTATTCACATTTGATGGCGTTTGCGAACATGGAGTCAACCATGGTTCTGTGTGTAATATTATTTTTGAGCAATAGAGTAGCAATAGAGAGAGAGGATACCGTATAATATAGTACATTTTTACGAACTGTAGCAACGAACACAAATAAATGCGGAAGACCTAAATTTCGCGAAATAAAAACATGCTCATACGGATCGGGAGGCGCTCGGCTATGAGAGCGAATACTGTGTGTATTGCCACTAAGAGCATGTTGTTGGTTCGGTGAGCAAACGAGACTCGATTCTCTTTATGTATATATATAGTTTTCGATTCCGTTGAACTGTTATTATTCTGTGTTATTATTGTGTGCTATGCTGGTTGATGTATTTCCATCGGTCTCAGTGGCCCAAAACCGACAACGAAAGTTCAGTTCGAATTGAACCACCCAATCGCACAGTACTCTTACAAAATACTGCTGCTAACACACTACTTGTTCTTGTTCACTCTTTAACACTTTATTTTCGTGTTCTTGCCACTCGTAAAAATACACATCAAATAAAACAATATTTTGAATCCCCCAAACGACAACGTAAACAACACCGTGAATCCACTTGACTGTTGAAAGCCAAACATTATTTACGAGAATAATAACTGTGTGGTTTACCTTTATTTGTGAATAGAAAAAAATACAAATTTTGTTGAGAGAGAGAAAACATAAATTAAGCGATCGTTCCACATTTTTTTTCTCACGTTTCTCATCATAAGCGCATTTCCAATCAACAAATCAATTTAATCGTCACGAAGCGAATTTTCGATGGTTGTAAATAAACATTGTAGAATAATCCACATTTTTCGCTTCTGCATGCAAACGCACACACACGCACACGCACACGAAAAGAGTATATATTCAAATAAAATTGGCCGCTTAGTGATGTTCTTCAAATCGTTTGACCATGCTTGCAGTTCATACTTGTAATTGTATCACAAACGCAATGTAAAAAAGCTTCATTTTCTCATTCAAACAGAGAGCTAGAGTGAGTTCGTCGGATGGTTGAGTGAGTGTTGATTTGGTTGAGTAGTGTCTCGTGTGTGGAAAATGCGTATGGTTTTTGACGCATAACTGCATAAACAAACCGCATTTAACCCATTTATTCGACTTTGTTTCTTCGCCCGCTCATTCGCGCGCGCTATCTCTATCTATTACATTTCGCTCGCTCTCGCACACTCATTTCGTACCGAATATTGAAGAACAGTTTTAAGTGCAATTGAAATTCATGTGTTTTTTTTTTTTCAACGTACTACAATTTAGGGCAGTTTCATCAAAGTAAAATAAAAATAAATGTCGATAACATTTTTTATTGATAAACAGTGCCTAGAATGTAGATAAATTATGTATATAACATTTTAAAGGTGAAAAAGGGAAAAGACTAGACAAGAAAGATAGAAATAAAGCGTTTTTTTTTTATTTCTGTCGTTGCTTTCATCCTTAACGAATAACAACGTTAGAGAGATGCCGCAATATTCTGAATATATTAGATATTTGACAACACATCCACGTACATATGTTGTTGACATAGTTTGAAAGCCACATAAATGTTCGATTACGACAAGTAAATACATAGAAACGCCATCAAACATACAATCAAAACAAGAAAATATCTACATAGAGCGAATTTTAATCAATTTCCGGACCGTTGCTATTTGAAAATTGACATTGCAATGGCAATTAATACAAATTCAAGTGTGAAAGCATCAGCACCATCATCTTCATCGGCAGCACCATCAACTAGCACAAATGATTTAATTGAATTGAGTATTCTACAAAAGAAGGCGCCGGGTACGGCCGTTGCTGCTGCTGCTGCTGTAACCACAACAACAACACCAATTCTGAAGCGAAAAGGTGGGGGCGGATCAAAGCGTCTACAATTTTCGACGCCTGAATTTAGTGTTACACCAATTGCCACCGTTCCGGGCATCAATACACGGCTAATACCCAGCCGAAGACGGTAAATTAGCCTCATTTATTATTCTTGACTCTCATCGTCCCATCTTTGTTTTATCTTTCTCGGTTTAATCAAAGTCATTTTCCATCGAAAAAGTTTCTTTACTTGAGTTTTCACTTTTTGAAAATTTACTTTTTACTTTACCATTTCACTTACCAACTTCCGCAACATGAATGCAAAAGTAATGTGTTAAAATGTGGTTGATTTGATTACAGCGAAGAGGCAATTGTGATGGCCAATTTACGAAAACGTGTTGCAGCTTGTGATTTAGAGCGTAGACGACCCGTTAGCGCAGTTAGCGATGCAAGCCGAACTAGTGAACCAAATCAGGATGAATTAGATAATCGACCGTTGTTATCAAAGGTACATACATACTTATTTAATTCGGTATGCTGTTGATGATGTTACCAATATCTTTACTTACATCAATTGTCTTTCGAAACTTCTTGTTGCTGAAAGGCATGCCAAAAACATAAATTGAATCTGTTGAGTCTCGGTTAACGTGTAGAACGAATTTCATTGTAACACAAACAACAAACGAGATAAAATGCTTAATCAGCAAAATGCAGAGATAAAGAAAACACTTCTTTCTCTATCCTTTCATTTCTCTTATAAACTAATCTGAATGACACACACTTTATTGAGTGAACACATTCAGACAGCCAATAGTTTCTGCCTGCGAACAGAGCATGGTTGAGCACATTTAAATTATACTTATTGTTGGAAGTGACGGCAGAAGTGCACGCAAAACAAAAAACGAAAAAAAAAAATCTCCATATATGAAGCACACACGCTCTTTTCTTCATTCTTTCTCGGGGTTTTCGTCGCGTTCAGTATTAAATTCCATCGTGACATGCATACTTTCATCAAATTGTCACATCACATGACCTATCACAATTTATTTTTCATTCCCATGAATCTCAGTTCATTAGGTCTCTACGTCTATCTCTCAGCGTCTGTATGTCACTCGCTCTCATTTCCATTTCTCATTTGATGATTGTTACATACATCATTTGTATTTAACAGTAAATTTGATTATGTGTGCATATTGTAAATTTCCACGTGCTGAAAACTGATGTCAACACCATTCACAAATTATCACCGTTATTTATTCAGCCAGTGCGAATGGGCAACCATCTATCCATTTTCTTTCATTTGAAATAAATTCGGATTGGAGATGCTGAGAGCACGTCGTTTTTGCTGTACATGATTCGCAGTAATAAAACAATAAGATAATATAACAAATCGTTCTGGATACACTCCAACAATAGTGTATCAAGTGTTTTGCGGAGGTCCCTTTAGAGTTCTTAAAGTACAAAATACATTAAAACACACACACTCACGCTGCGTACATTTAAATTGACTCCATAACCATGGTAAAGCATGAGCTTTGCATTCAAAAGGCATTTTCTCCCCCCCTCTCTTTCTCTAAAGTTGAATATATCTAACATTGAGTTCGCTGGTAGCTTTTCTTACAAAAAAAAAACGATGAAATGCATTCGTGTATTGTAAAATATATATAAATTAAATGGATAGAATGAGCTGCGAACGCGATTGGACAAGGCATTAAATCAATTTATACATTTATAAAGTCCGATTTCATTACGCATTTTGTTTTGTTTTTTCAAAATGGCAATAAAATCCAATTGAATGCCGTAGAATTGGAACAGAGAGAGAGAGAGAGAGAGAGAGAGAGAATGAGTAAAATCAAAGTTTCTCCATAAATAAATATCATTTTGTAAACCAATGTCGTGGAATGGCAAATTTGATTAAGACGTTCTCCTTCATAATGTCGTTGTCAGAGTAGTTTTATTTTTCGATTTCTTCGTTCCCTTCCTCTATGCCATTGTCGATTTTCATTCCAATGTTAAATTTTTTTGGCCGAAAAATATAAGTAACAGAAAGATGTGTATTTCATCTAGTAATTCATTTTATGGTTTCTTCTATATTTTAATAATTGGATTCCGCCTATGGAGCGAATATATTCATCGTAAATGAATAACACTATCTTTATATGCATTATATTCGTTTATAGCCCCAGTGGGTAGCGTTATTTTGTGCCAAAAATATATATCTAGCTCAAACGCGCGCGCGTAATCACAACTACTTCCTTTGATACATATGCAAAACACACAAAAAATAATTATTGAATTCACTATTTCATTTGAATGAGAATGAAAAGAAAAAACAGCGAATGTAAAAGAGCCCAGGGGAAACCAGAACATTGCACCACATTTTCGCTTACATTACAGTGAATGTAATGTTGTTGGTAAATGTGAGAAAAAGTAAAAAAACCTACAGTCTCTTAAGAAAAATGAAAGGTTCCACCAATATCATCAACGAAGCACGTGTGTGATGTAAATTTTTGTGTTTTTCTTTTCTTCGCGTTTTGTATTTTTTGTTGTTGTTGATTTCGAGCAACCCCTGGTTGTGCGCTGCGCATAGACGACAACGATAGGTACAAAACATTTGCAGTTTTCTATACTAATAATTGCTATTTGATTACTATTCACATTATTATTGTTATAATTAAATTTAATTTTTTGCCATTCATCAACGTAACACGTAGTTGTTAAATGCTGTTATAATGCAAGCCAACACAAAAAAAAGTATACAAATTCGGAATACATTGTCGGTTCGAGCGATCGAGTCGAGGTGGCTCCTGCTTCTTAGCATGCACCATATATGCATGTATACATATAAAGTGTTAAAATGTCTCAATAACAATATTTAAAACGACCTTTGGCCTTTGCAATAACTCACCAAGTGAAATATCGAGTACTTGACGCAAAAGGTGCTGTATTTCACATTTTTCGATTTAGTCGTGCCATTTGATCGATCAACTACTCGTCGAAACGACATTGTTTTTGTTTGGTGTTGTTGTTGTTGTGCCGTTAATGCCATTACCATTCGACACATAAAAATTGTCTGTGGCAGTAGTGACGGTGATGGTGTTGAATCGCAATAAATTCATCTCTCGATTTTCTCGCTTGTCACCACCGTCGTCATTGTCGCCGTCTTCGTTGTACATATTGTGCATGAGCATTTTTTTTGTTCTCTTTCTTAACACCATGGGTAATTGTTCTTTGTTTTTGCTATCTGTTTCGGTGCGAATGCGGCAGACATTTTCAAATCGTGATTCATGCAACGATGGAAGTGTGAGTGGTGCCGGTGACGAAAGCCCCAAATCGATCAGCAGCTTTGTACAGGACAAGGATTTTATACTAGACTGTTTGTGTTGGCATAATGAATATAGAGCGCGACATTCGGCAAAAGCACTCACCGTATCGCCCGAAGTAAGTAGAACTTTATATAATACATAGTTAGAAAACCATAATCTCAACAAGTGCGATTTATTAAATGAGAAGCGAAAAAAAAATATAATACAAAAGACGACGCACGCACAACTGCCCATTAAGATTAATCGTCATCATAAAAAGAAAATGAAAATTATCAAAAACTTTGCGTGTGTGTACATGTATACGTGAGTGTGAAATGTGAAAATCCATTTGGGATTTTCCACCGTACTTTTCTCTCTCTCTCTCTATCGTTCATGCTTTCATCTTTTGCCAGAGAGAACAGAAACCGAAGAGAAACACAATAGAAAGAACAAACAGCAGCTTTTCAAGTGAGACATTGCTTACTTTCTATTGTTTTGTCACCATATCAAATAAGCATTTTTGCTTTGTTTTTTTCGCACCATTAATTGTTCTTTGGCTAATGGTTATGATGTTCCATTATGAATCGGTCACTTGAATGAAATATCATTTCAGCAGAGAATAAGAGTTTATTTTTTAAGTACAAAATAAAGCCAGTTCAGAGCTGAAAAAAATGCTCTTCTTTTATCATGGGCAAATTTTGCCAGCTGTGCGCTTGAAATGTTACTTGTGACTGCTTTTATGTCGTGTTTTCGCAAGATAAATCAATCCTATGCAATGAAATGTGTTTGGAAAAAACTGTCCGCTGAATGTAATAATCAAATTAAAAAAAAATTGTTTAGAGGTTTTATTTTCAACGAGATTTCTGATCATTTTAGTTCTCACCAGTTCAACTATGAACTGGCTGTCTCAAATATTGGAATAAAATTTAAAATATGATTTACGTATCTGCTTAGTTTTTCATTTTTTTAAGTGATAGTTATTTCCAATATTTCCATATTTGATAATAAAAATGTACTCCCGATTTATTGGTATTATTAACTTAACTGTTGATTTGGTTATGTCAAGAAGACTGACTTTATTCGGATTATAGATTGGTATTTATACAGAATAGCCCGCGATTTGTGGTTCGTGTCTTTGGCTTATGTTTAATAGGTTCCTGACTATAGAAGGCAGTCAGCAACTATATTTGATTACTTGCAACTATCATGACTACAGAAGTGGTCACGCTTATAGAATGCTGATTCGTATTTAACATGTTCAACTTTGTTCTTATACAATTTTATTGTAACGCGTACAAATTTGTTTCAAAAAAATCAAAAATAATAAATAACATGAAATATGCACGAAATTCAAGACGATAATCTATTGAACGAATTTTTCGAGAAAAAAAACACTACAAATATTAGGAGCAGGAAAAACACTAATGATTCGTTGCATTTGTAATCCTTTATTTGCTAAACTTAAATCCAGATGTCAAACCTTTAATTTTTTGCGCATTTCAAAATCACTTTGACAGGTTTTTTCAGAACATCAGTGACATCATCGTTCTGACATTTACATGTAAACACAAATTATAACTCATTCAAAATACAACTTGGTGCAAATCAAAGCAAAAATACAATTTCCATGTATACTTCAGTTTAATTTCATTTTCAATTCATGTTTCAATCAGTCAAATATCTAAAGCAAATATTCATCAAGGCACCAATTGCCTTGATTTAGTGTTAGCAAAAATAGAGTTTAAAGATATTTCACAATTGCAAAAAAATTCAAGACTAAGATAAGAGACTAACTCAAATAGTTGAGTCAAATTATCAACAATTTATCAAAAATGTTATTTTGGCACGATTTATATACATAAGTATATATAAATTGATAGAGTCGACAGTAGGATGACAATCAGTAACATAAAGTCTACTGAAATTTTGTGAATAGTTTAATTGAAAACATTTATTTGAACACAATGGTGTTAAAACTGCACATTTAATTCATAACGACGATGGTTGGACTCGTATCATGTAGTGTGAAAATAGCAGATATCAAGTTTTTTCTATACGATAATAAAGTGGAATCGGTCGAGATGAGAATGCAAATGGAATTAAAAAAACTCCATCGATCCTCAGTAATTGATTCTGGATTGGCAGCAGCAAGTTATTTACCAAAAATTGGTACAGCCATCTATTTAGCATCAGAGATACGTAATTTACTTGATGCCATCGTTGATGGTTACCAGTTGAAGGATGTGCTGATAGAGTCTATATCGGATGAAATTGAACGCAAAATCTTAGAAAATGACGTAAAAAAAAATGCAAGAATCAATGAAAACTATTTTAGACACTTTTATTTTGATAAAGTCTACCGATATTGAATTCGAGACAAACGTGGACTTATTCTCATAATACATAATAAATTAAGTGAGCACTGAACGTTTTTATGAATGAAAATTCTAGCTTCAGAAAACATTTATCGGTAGCTTTCACTCCATTATCTGCAATCTCACAACTGGTCTTTATTATTGACGATCTAATAAAACATTTTAATCCAAAATTGTCAAAAGCCACTTTCCTCTCATTGAAACGTTGCGCGAATACCGATTACATACGGTTTTCAGTAGATTGGATAGCATTGGTGCATGGCACCATAGTCGGCTACAATTAACAATTCCTTCAGTTTGTTCATTGACATCTCCATTTACTTCTAAATTTTGTGAAAATGAATTTTCATTGGCAACCTTAGGCGCTAAATGGCTGAATCCATTGCACATATGAATCGTTGCGGCGAAACAGTAGCTCTTATTTTTCTCCAAATAATACTGCAACATGAAGTTTTTTTCATACGGTTTATTTGTTGTAATACAACAAATAAACTATTCATAAAAAATTTATGTTGCAGTATTATTTGGAGAAAAATAAGAGCTACTGTTTCGCCGCAACGATTCATATACTCAATGTATAGCAATGAATTTGTATTGTATGATTTTGGTCCCAAATGGATGGACATAAAGAAGCAAGTGTCGTCAGTGATGTCATTCGAGCATGATCCAATGGGATACAATTATCATAGATCTAATGGTATGCTAAAATGTATGAATTTTGGATGTGATGGTGTTACTGATCAGCAAAACTCTGAATCAACGCTAGTCTGCATTGAAGATAGATTGCTTCAACAACAATTTGTGAGCGTAAAAAAAGACGACCTAACAAAATGTCTATTGGACTTCTTAAAAGTGGTCAGACATCGAATTGAAAAGCTGTTCGATGAGCCGATAAATTTATTGGAAAAAACATGTCCAATAGAAAAGCGACTGCAACAAAATATAAAATCAACAGGTATCAAATTGTTAGTAATGAATTTCATAGGATGATTTTATTGTGGTATGAAATTTTACAGGTTTTGGTGGTAATAGATTGCTGTTCGGCTTACAAGAAAATTAATTCGGACAAAAGTTGTGATCCACTTCAGTTTATCGGTGATGAGAATTCTAATTGCGATCCATATGTCGTCGTTTTCATCGACGGCTCCAAAGTGTATGAAACTCAAGTGAAAAAAAATCAGGCGGAAGTGTGCTTTTTCGAAAAATTTACATCAAAAAAAGTTAAAAAAGACGCTAAAATTCTGATTGAGTTACGCGATTCAGACATACGCAATGATGATTTACTTATTTCGTGGGAAACAACTATTGAAAAAATCATAAAAATGCCATACCATAGAAGTGGAGACAATATGCTGAAGATTAAATCGTTTTGGAGAGACGAAATAACAGATCATTGATAATTTTAATATACAATTCAAGTCTCAAAAACTATTTAATTTCTGTGTTTCTATGAATTATCAGCAATATCTGACTAATCTTTGTTTGAAATATTTGGTGTTGAATTTTAGGTAGAGATTTCATTGTCAACATTTTATTTGAGATAATGTGATTATTGTAATTTTATTTGGAATAAATAGAAAGTCATTTCATTAGATAATTAACTATACAATTACCTTTCATATTTTCATTATTTCGCTTAAATATATGAAACTCTCCGTCTTACAATCTTATCGCCGTTGCAATTGCTGTTGTATCAAACATTTGTGCATTATTTTATCGCGTCGTTAATTGTTCCAAAGTTTTTCTTTAGCTAATGATTATAGCCCATTGTGAATCGGTCACTTGAACGTAACAAGACATGAGCAGAGAAAGAAACAACAACATCAAAAAATAACAACTTTACCAACTCGATGAAAAAGCCATAGAAAAAGCGGTTTTAGTAAATGCAAAAGATGAAAATGTCTGGCTCTTTCAATTCATTGCAAAAGTTTGTTCGGAAATGTGCATTCATTTTATCGCTTTTGTTACAATTTTCTACAGAAATATTCAATTACTGAAACAACTGCTAGTGGAATAATGGAGATACATTGATAAGTACTTAAATTTTGAATTGTATTTCGAAATTTACTCAAGTCCATTTAAAAAAAGAAAATCATGAATATATAGTGCGCGAAGAATGTTCAAAATATTTCAAAAGTGAAGATTGAAAGGAACCCATCTGGACAGACGATTTATTTTATTCAACGAAATCTTCTTTCATATGCGAAGCAATAACTCCATGCCGACGGTTTGAATTGTATTTTCGCATATGATTTTTTAAGCATATGATTTTGTAGCGAAAAAGGATATATTTTTCTTATTTATGTAATCAACGGATATGCTCTTATCAACTCTTCAAACTGATTATGCGTCAATTCAAGCACACAAGAATGCTAACGCGCAATGCATTATGCATATTGAAGAAATTCCGTTTTTGAAAGTTTATTGCCTGCATGTTCGAACATCCCAAAACGGGCTCTTTGAAAGAAAAAAAATAAGATCTCATCAAAAGCATGCACGAATTGAGAAAAATCTTACGCAAACTCTAAACACCACTGTATGTGAGTAGTTCCATGTGTTCACAAGGAAGAAGAATTGAAGTTGAGCATAAAAGCAAAAAGAAGCGAGAGAGCGAGAGAGAAGACCTTCTTTCATTATAAAATTTGATTAGTATAGCAAATCGAGCAAGGCGACCGTGTAACTGTGAGGAATATCAATTGGATTGTTTCTTTTGTAGTAGACGACGGTGCGACATTTATGCGTGAATTTCATATGATTATGCATAAAAGAAATGTAGAAACCGTGATGATGAACATTATTACATTAAAGGCATTGTTGTGAGTTGCTTGTTCAAGGATATTTCTAGCATTGAAATTCGCGACGCTGCTAGTGACGATGAACAACGAACCAAAAACAAAAAATGTTCATTCAAAAAACGCAAACCAGTGCTGTTGTCGAGCCAACCATTATTATTATTACAAGAGTAATAAATGCTTAGGAAAGTACGCAAGCTTTTCGGATGTTTTGTGTATACAGAAAGTTTTATGTTGTTTTAACTGGATGGCGTATCACATGAGAAGTTATAGTTGTAGAGACTATATTATGCATGCATCTCTCTGTTTGTATTCGGTTAGGTTTTCGCGTTTGTTTAATTTTCAATTAAAGCCAAAAATGTTCCAATTTTTAATGAAAAAAAAAAAATGGATTAAAATTTGCATGTACAGTACCCTGGTGTGTTAATTGCCATTGATGAATAATGTGGTACATAAAGTTCATAAAACTGATTTTTCGTTGTTGTATTTCCAGACAATATATTTGGATTTTGTCATCTGGATATTTCAGCTCATCTGGATTACGTTAGGCGATGATACGAAATGAAAACAATAGAAGTGATTATTGTATTGTATAGGTTTAAAAATACTACCATAACTATAACAATCACTTCTTTTGTTTTCATTTCGTATCATCGCCTAACGTCATCCAGATGAGCTGAAACATCCAGATGACAAAATCCAAATAATTGTCTGTGTTTTTCGGTTAAAATGAACTGCACAGATAAGGTTATAGCGTTACGAGGTGTTAATTTGGAAAATGAGGTGATATTTGGAAAATAGCCTAACAAGATCTAGATAGTTCGGTCCGTAATATTCAACATAGCGCGTGTTGAACCACTTTGCCGGTAGTGAACTGTCAACGTGTAGTCGAAAACCAATTTTAATATGCATGAATATATGCAGTAATATTCTGCATAATTGGCGATAAAACAATGTTTGGAAAAGTAAAAGTTGTTTTGTTATCGTTCTATACACCGTGGAATGTTTATGGCACGAGAAATCCGGTTTGGAGAATGGTCGATTTTGGCAATTTTCATTTTCTCTTCTGTGCCACACATTGAAAATAAACACGAAACATGGCATTTTACCACTTTTTCGCACGAATCTCGTATCGATGGTGTGTGTGTGTGTAAATTGGTTTGATTTTGGCAGGCCGAAAACTTCACAAAGTAAAATAAGATTCAAAATTTTGCTACGCTTGTTATATTTTGTACATGGTGGTAAGTGATAGGGTCACGCGATCTGGGAATGACGTATGTATGCCAATTGTAATAACGCCTGGCAACGAATATCATGAACAAAAAGAATGAACACCGTGTGCATCGTTTGTTATCTTTGCTGCATTTTATCTTGTCGTTATCACAGCACTGTAATAAATCATCAAAATCGGTATATGCATCATAGTTTCGGTTTGGGTTGGCGATTGGCAATGGCAGTTTTCTGGCAAATATCAATGTGAAATCAATACAAATTCCATTTCAAATTAAAACGAAACTCTTTTGTTTGGCAGCAAAATATTCAGCCCTTTTGTTTTGTATGCTTTTCAATGCACTTGTACCAACATGCGGTTTTGAGTGTAATCCTTTTTTTCTCTCTCCCATTTTTTCGTTTATGGAACGTGTGTCCTCAATAACAAAACCTCGAAATAGACGAGCGAACCCCCAACCGAACACAAATGAACTCAACTCAACTCGATGGCAATTTTTTTTTTAGCCAGAACAAAATAACGAAGGAAAGACATCTAAAGATAAAATCACAGCAAAGAACTGGAAGGGATCCAAATGCATGTAGATACAAATTGCAACATTCACTCTCTTTTCTATTTCTCTCGACATCATTTTTTTCTATGAGGTTTTGTTGATGATCTGCTTATAAAAAAAATTCCTTTTAAATTGTATTATATATGTACCGTTTTTTATTTCACTTTTCCGATTTCATTGAGCATTAGTTATTTTGTCACGACATTTATTGCAAGTCTTGCTTCGTTAAATTTGATATGACATTCATGAGAGTTTTATTTGAGGGAGATCAGGAGCGAAATACAGTAGCATAGTAAGAGAGAGAGAGAGAGAGAGAGAGAGAGAGAGAGAGAGAGAGAGAG